GTAATTGTAAATAACGTGAAGTCTAAGAGAACTTCTGCGATAAACCAGAACGTAGATGACCTCAACAGAGATGAAATCGAGCAAGTAACGATTCGTATCTTCTGGCTTCGCAGCGGTCGTTGCGTTTAATTTCCGAGGTGATCGTGACCCTGTTTCCCGTTTTCTCTCTCGTTCTATCTTTCTCTCCGTTCGCATCTCTCTCTCTGCTCGTTATGACACTAGGGCAGAACGGTTGATCCACTCGACAGTTCGAGCAGCCGCAGCTGCAACGACGCAGCTCGGTATCTCTTCTCTGGGCCGTCGTGGCTGCAACCGCTGCCGTAGCTTACCGCCCTCGTTCATGAGAATTGTATATTTCCATGGAGCACCTGACGCCGGCCGATCGCCTTCGAATTTGCACATCCGTTCATCTTTTATTTTATCTCGACCCCGCCCTACCTTCCGACTTCTCTTATTTCGCTTCTAGGATTCTGCTCGTCGATCTTTTTCTTTTCGACCCCGATTTGCGTAGCAATATTGCGTGCACCTGACTCACCCAATGACCCCCGTCACAGTAGAGACGAGTTTTCTCGAGAAAATATAGAAAACTAGAAATTATAAAGGGCTGCTCAACTCCTTCCGCGTTGGATTAATTATTACGAGGAATTTTAAAGGAAAGTCTGATATATTTTAGCTAGTAGAACATGTTTCGAGGAGGGAGATATAATAGCGTTATCCTCTGGATAAAACTGAATAAGAAATGTCTAATAATGTTTTTCCCTACGAGGCTTCGTTGTCGAGGAAATCGATGTTGAACATTCTTGAGGTACGTGTGAAACTTGGCTATTGTGTCTGACCATTACTCGCCAGTTCTACTTGGTCCACTGCCTTTAAACGTTGGCCGTGGTACGATACTATCTGGTTTAATTGATTTTAAGTATTAGATGGCAAGGTCAATAGAAAATATGTGATCCTATACTGTCTTTAACATTTACAAATATCAATACAAGTAGAAACAGCGGTTAATGGACAGACGCAACAGTAAAAACAAGTTGAACAGCACGTTAGGCGTTCCTTCGCCTAGATTTAAACCGTGCAATTTGTACCATCCTAACTACAGAAACTCTTCGATGTGTTTCGCTTCTATGTTTGCTCGAGTTCTATTTACGGCGATCGATAACAGAAACGTGAGTTTTTTTATTGTCTTTTTTAACGATCGTTCGTGTTCCTGGGCGTGGTTGGGCTAACATAATTTTCATGACGTCTGTTCTGCAGCAGGGCTAATGTCGAAGAACACAGAGCTCCTTCCAAAGGTAGAGACATAGATTTTTGTGATACTTAAATCTTAGTCGAATGTTAAAAAGGGTTGAAATGTTAACGCAAGGCTTTACCGCAATTTTTGAGGCACTACCAAAAGTTATCAGACACCTACATTAAATATATTAAAATTTGCAGTAAGCGGGAGATACTATTTCTACTATTTATTATTAGTTTACAACGCATATCCTCTACACTCGTTAAACTCTCTCAAAACTCTATCAAACAGACGTAACTCTCTCTGCGAATTTACCGAATAAATAGAATCCTCGTCATCGCGTACGTGCGCATTCAGCTTCTGAGTTAATTAAAATATTATAACGCGAAAGTAACTATTAAAGTTGTGAATAAATATTCAAAATTTAATTACCCAATGCTACAGCAGAAATATACATCAGTTTTAATCTACAGATGGGCAGCACATTAATCTGGATGAAAACGATTAAAATACATCACACTTTTCATCCATTAGAAAAATAAAATGTATATTGTAAAATTAAATAACGTGACTGTCGAGTGAATCAAAATTCATTTGTACACGTATCCATTTTAATGAACGGTTTTGTCAACTTTCGAATAAAATTTTACCCTTCCAAAGCTGTTAAAGTGGTAGTTCATATTTACGATGCTTTCTTCCCTTGTTGGTACACGACGAAACGTTTCGAATCTCGAGGCCATTTTTAACGTTGACCTCTGAATTCTACGTTCGATCGATACACGGGAATTCCCCGTCGGGGATCGTTCGGTCGAAGAGCGCCACTTACGTATTACAATCGAGTCACCGATGATACATAGTTCTCTTTCGGTTTCGCATCAACGTTACAGCCCTTTGGCAAGCTGCCCATCTTCATGGCGCTCCTATAAGTCTCGCGCGAGGAGGAAACTCCGGATCCTCCCCTACCAGTTCAAGATGTATGACTTTGGGCGTCGTGATTGTGAATATAACTCGTTCCGAAATTTTTCAGCTCCCTCTGAATTGGAATATAAATTGTTCGTCGTCTGAATGCGCGATGCTTCCGATGACGATCCGACACTGCGATTAACCAAGCGTACATTTAGATGGGGGCATGTTCGAGCATTTTTTCAGATCAAATAAGAGGATAGCGATCGAATGGATACACGAGTTATGGTAATGCACTGCAGAATAGCAGAAGTGGTCGCGAAATTTACAATCAGTCGCATAACTATTCGTACCCTGTATATCTATTGAAGAAATTTGCCTAAATAAAATGATAGGTTTGATCTTTCCAAATAAATCTTTCGTTATAAATATGTATATGAATAAACTTTACACATATATATACTTCTAATGAAAAATTTATTCGGAAACATTAAACCTATAATTTAATTTAGACAAAGTTATTCATTAGATATTGAAGGTACGAATACTTATGAGACTGACTGTATATTTACGACACTTTGAGATGTGTTGACTAGATAAATGTTCGTTTTTAAACAATCTAATGTTTGGAAGAATATATTTTACATTTACTGGTGAGAACTATAGTGTGAAAGTCAAAAATATATTCAACAGAAATACATTCGAAGAATTTATAGCATTCAGTAGAGGATTTGCACATCACTGGTTGTCATTCTCAGGTGTGCTCCGCGAACTTTCCACTTTTGTTATAAACTCCGCTCTCTGGAACGCGAAAATGGGGCAACCTTATTTATAATTTCGCCACCACTCCTCATTGAAACCATTTCTCACATGTGACGCATTCGGCGATCCCGAAGGACAGGGGTTAATCCAATTCTACGTCGTCATGTTCATTTCTCTCTGCTCGGAATTAATGAAACATGGAGATGCTGTCAAAGTGCATTGTGTTACAATATAATTGCGGAATACAGCCAGTGAGCTATGAACTCCCTATGTAACCCGAACTAATGTATACCGCCTACGATTTCTAATTTGAAAGATTCTCCCATCCAACGATCCATTGTGTCGCAGTATAATTACGGAATGCGGGCGGTTAACTGTGTAACTCGAATTTATGTATTATAGTTACATTGTTACTTCTAATTCATATAAATACTAATGTATTTTCATTCGTGACCGACTCCACTCTTAGTTATGCTGTATAGACACAAGGCGCATTTGATCTAAATAGTTGCTCCTGTTCACTATTCGTACGTATAAATTTTGTGGCTTCGATATTACAATTCATGTATTATCGCTATGCTAACAATTCTAGTTTATGAAATTTCCGACATACCTATTTATCTGCGTGAACTACGCAGCAACTCTCAGATATGCTGCATAGAATCGACTAGTATTACATACGCATGTAACCTTTTGACCGCGAAGAGCGCATATGTATAGTCGCTGGTTGGGATCTTGTAAGGTCGTGAACCGAAACAGCAGTTATTGCTTTATTGGCACAAGTAACTGATCCCTAGGACGACAGGGATGTCGCGGCTCGAAGGTATACATGCCCACGTTGCATCCTGCGGCCCCAAGACTAAATATATTTTGTTGCGAGTATCTCGGGTTTTTCCAAGCTGGAAAAACCAAAAACTCTTGACGATGATTAGTTGACCCCTTCAGCTACGATTTAAGCTCCAACAGCCTGGGGCCAAAATGTCATGTTTATATTTGGTCCGAACAATACACCACAGGACGGGCTCGTGAAAAATCAGTTTTGACCTGAATATCCGATCATATCTCACACGTGGTAAAGGGGTTACGTGGGCTAATTTCGATTAACCTGAAGGTCTCGAACCAGATAAAGTCAAACTTTCAAATTATAATCTTACGGCTTTTTTGCGGAAATCCCACAGAAACTTTCATATGGAAAATGTTGTTTCGTAGATTTAGATTTAATTACCGAGGTGTTTGAAATTTACGAAAGCGTTCGTCGTTTGAGATGTTTCACCTATATCCTGCTCGTGGCACGTTTAGTGGTGCGAGTGCACGCTCGCACATCGTAATAATCTAGACAAGATGAGACACGGCTTTTGTTGTGTTTTATAGCGGAGAGAAATATTGTTCTGGTCTACGGAGATACTCCCAAGCTAGTTCTTTGGAGAACATTTTCGGTGTATGCGAGGCGTTCCTCGCGATCCGACGCAACCGCGAAACGATAGGTCGCCCAATGGGGAAGCAGTTTACGTTGCAATGCAGTTTTCGCCGTTTTCTCTTCCTTTCAAACTGTTCGCCAGAAGCGATGTACGGTAAAATAAAAAGTATTTTAGTAATGCATCTTGCGCCAAGTCTTTCTGGGGGAGATTGTCTCCGTATTGGGGGATGATCTGTAGTAAAACGTATGCTGTAAACTTATTACCTAATTTTCGTCTTCAATCTGAAGAGAAGTTTCATGAAAATTATTTGGGATAAGTAGGAAAATTTGTTGTTTTAAAATATATTTGTGGAACGCTTGCATTATGATGGGGCTGTTTGACTTTTAGAATAGAAAACCTGGAATTAATTCTCTTGTGTTTAAATACAAAGGAAGTTTTATAATTGTTTACATGGAGAATTATTTTATTGATTTTCTTATAACGATTGACTTGAAGTAACTATATTCCTTCATACGTGTTGACAACACTCTTTTAGTTTGCCTCACTCGTAATACTCTCGTATCCACTTCGTCCATCTATGTAATAATTAATAAAGACACATCAAAGGTATTCTAGCTTTAATTTCACCAAAGAAACACATATAAATTAGCATAAATTAACGTATCTCTGATTTTCTGTTGCAGATTCCTCGAACGTGTTCGTTTCGGAGAGACGTGTCGTAAGGTGAGTACGGTGAAACTTGGCGCTTAAACTTGTCGACTTCCTGAACGTGCTCCTTAAGATTATGCACGGCTTTCGCGTGAAATATCGTTTCATCGATAATATCGGCGGGAATATCGATTTCTAGAGCAAGCTGTTTAGGCGAAGCAATTAACCTTGCGATACTTCTTGAAACAAGCTCGAGTAATCGATTCATCATTGCATACCTCCGCACAATACGTATTGGGTAGTCTTGAACAATTGGGTAGTCATGGGTGATAAATTTATCGCAAATGATACTTTTCAAGTCCCAATTTATCGATAACGCTGTTAAGTTGAATTCAACGCCATACTTAGTGAACTTTTAATGCATCTAACGCTCTAATTATTTTTCTTTGAACTCGGTATTAATATACCTTGACTGCAACTTTTATTATAGGAAAAGTTGATTTTCATTTGAGAAACTAAAATTGATAATTAAAAGTGTTCAAGATGCTTGCGAGAAATTTAATATAGGGTAATCTTCGTGATGATTCGATTCGTTTTTGTAATCTAAAGGTTTACAAGTATCAAATAGTTTATATAAGATAAAAGTGGCGTGTTATATGAAATTTATTTAAGGACTGAGATTGAAAATGAGGTGTGATATATCAAACATATTTGATCGAGTATGACATATACCTTTGGATAAGGTTATCGTTAAACGCACCTCTATCTAAGATTTCTGTTTGAGTAACGACGCATACGATTTATCTTTATAAGATGTAACATCAGGAGCAGATCCCTCGGTGCAGCTTTCATTTTCCAGTTCCACGGAATAAATATTCCATTCGTCGGGACTCACTGTCAATTTGGTAGCCTCTCGAACAATATTTATTTAACCGGTATCGATTTCGATGGCATGATATTGGTTTCCTGTACCTTTGCCTCTATTTTTCCTTTCACCCTATTCGCCTATCTCTACCTCTAGCTAAACCTACACAGCTCGTTCGCAGCCCTTGCTGACGCTACTTCTTCAACACTGACTCCTTAAATATCGTGGACTGCTTTGGTAACTAATTAATTAGTTTTTTCTCAAGTTTTTTGGTTTTTTTGCGACATTGGCTTCTCTATCGTCAGTTCGCAAAGAGTTAAACAATGTTGAAGACGTATAAGGGTGAACCTATATTAATAATTTCACTGAGAAGTAAATAGTAAAGTGAATAATCGATCAGAAAACGTTACGTACCTGTAACTTCCACGTAATTATTCAAGTATTTTCAAAAATTATTAATGTGCGTTTATAGCATTAGAAAATTACAAAGTAAACGTGCTTTCATTCATTAAACGTAATATGTACTATAATTTTGATTCTTTATTCGAAATTTGTATCTATCAGTATCAGTCCATGATATTAAAAGTGATATACTGTTAGGCCACCTAAATAGGCATAAAAGTGAAATTTTCGTACCTAGTCCTAACTCGATAGCCAAGGACTGTAGATGAGGATTTTGCTCATCTCTGGTTCAGGCAACATTGTAAGCAAGATTTGCACGGCGATTAGAATTATTTAAAAATTCGTCCGCTATCGCGGTTCTAATTTCAACGCATTTTCCGTTGTTTCTCCGTTATCACCGCTGACACGCAAATAACGACACGTACGGCGGTTTTAATTAGCGATATTAACGCAGTCAGGTGTACTCGCGGCCATAATGCACGCAGTGTAACGTTAGAGACTGTGTTTTTCGTGCTGATAACGCTGGTTTTTCCGTTTTATTCCCGAGAGTCGCACAATGGGCCAGGATTCGTCCGGAACACTCCAAAAGTGATAGTGCAATTTCAGTGCGAAACAGTGATTATATTCGAGAATCTCATCTCGAAAATTCTCGAGATTTCTAACAAATTTCTCACCTTGGAAGATAATAATATTAAAATATTTCTTGATTCCCGATTTTCGAACAAAATTGTTTTCAGTGTCGAGAGTTTCAGATTATACTGCATATTATACGGTAATGTGAAATAATTAATAATAAATGGAAAGACAGATGAAAATAATTATTGATCGCTAATTAAGAAAATAAATATTCATGAGACTTGGAAGAAATTTTGTATGTTTAAAATGGTTGCATTCATAACATCACGAAATAAATAAAATAAAAAATTTATACCTTCACTACAGAATGAGCAATTCAATAACCCAACTGGGGCACTACAAAATACTATGTCGTTGGTATTTCTCGTGAAAAGGGGTCATTGAACCGAACAGTTTGATTGCATGATATAAAATTTCAGAAATTAACCTTGGATCGTATCGGAGAGAGCGTCACGCAGACCGTAACACGTGGCGAGCTCTTTTCCCACGTTTTGCATAACACGTTAGGTCAATTTGTGATAATAACTCGCATACGCGACCGATATGCAGAATATCGTCGAATCGGTCGAAAGTAATTCAGCTTATGGCTCATTCGACGAGCTCGCGGTGTCGATTGGTAGTTTCTAACGCACGGGTAACGAGCGGAGTCGCTCTAACAACATGAATAATAGGTGTCGCAGAGGATCGTCACGCGAACCTAATGGCTTTATCGACACGACGTATCGCGGAAACAATGTAGGCATTCGAGGTGATTATAATCTCATAACGAAATAGCCTCGTTCATCTTCGCTAATCAGGATTCTGTATAACTTTGTTTGACAAACTCGGGTGAGACGCGCACTTTCGACAAATTGTTGGCAAACCTTGCCGAACACGTACAATTAATACGTACCTCACTCTTCCGTAACTGTTTTGCGAGCAAGACAGGGAAAACTGCGACAAATTTCCTGTAATTCTCTGTAAATATATGCTCAACATGTTTACACTGTTACCAGGAACCCTCTGATGTAAATTTATCATTTACCATTTGATCTTAATTACGTGAGTGAAAATCGTTTACTAGAATTTGAAACTTACAATTTATATTTAATCTCAGAGTGTTATTCAATTTTAATTTCACAAGCTTTTAATATCAGTAATAATCCTGAACCAAAAATAATATTCTCTCTCTAATGAAACAAAATCTCTACCTCTCTACCACGCATATAACGAGTATCGTGTAACACGGTTTCAGTATCACATTGCACAAATTAATCGTATTATAAGAGAGTTATACGGATTACGGTGGAGTTACCAACGTCGAATAATTTGTCCTTGACCGCGTATTTCCCACTTTTCCAAGACATGTTTATTAACCCCGTGGCAGTAATTTTGCATTGTTTGCGATCGAATGCCGGATATTAAATTTTTCTCTTTGAACTTGTCGCATCCTCGATACGCAGCAGGATGAAGCAATACATTTGCATAACGGTTGCTTGTATGGAAACGTAAACTGTGCATCGTAAATAGTCCAACCAGGGCTGCACCCGACAACGCAGTTATACCTGCGATCTATCGCTGTGCCAATGCCTCAATCTCTGCAACGTATGGATCATCTTCGTGTTAATTAATTCTGCCTCGATATCTGTGGTGAAATTTTAATTTTAATCGTCACTTTTGGTCGTGATAAATGAGAAGCTTGGATAAATATTTGTCCACGACTAATCAGTATAACGAGACAAGTGACACGAACATTCTCGAATCATTGTCACCCACTATTTTCCAGTGGGAGACAAAGCAAGTAATTTATTTGAAAAGTTGAGAGCACCAAATGGTGGACACTCCGCGAATCAATGTAATATCTTCAACGTCCGTGGAATGATGTACGACCGAAGTCTTGGTGTGACGGGAGAGCGATTATTTACAGCCAATCAGAGGGAGAAACCTATCCCCTGGCCGACAGACGCATAAACGCTCCCAGATCGCATCGATTGACACGGAGGATAATCGAACTGACGAAGCACGATTGATAGAACGACGCATGACGTTCAGCGCTAGAGAGTTAGAACGTGTATTGGTATGGTTTCCTTGGATAGATGGAATTTCTCCATTGGAGAGTTCCTAAGTCTACTCATTCGAGCACTGTCACGCGCGAGGATAAACTTCTTATCTATTCGTGCAGGGTATTGATAAAAACGTGGAACTTTCTTCGAGATCAATTCCTCGTGGCGATACGAGTCGTAAAGTTCTTTTCCATTTTGCAATCCAAAACTCGGTTAACGAGATACCTACGGAAAGGGTTAGGCGATTGGAAAGTGACTACACAAATGTCAAACGGGAGTGCAGCGTCGTGACACAGCTGGGAAACGATCCTCTTCAAGAAACATAGAGTCGCGAGTGGCTGCAAACTCGCCGTGGATAATTGAGCGTGTAACCGAATAGGAGCGCTCAAGTTCGTCGACGCGTACATGTACCCGATCTACGGACATGAACTTGCTCCGAGAGAGGAGTTTGGCTGGCCCGTGTACTCCGATCCGAATGCCCTCTGCCTGCCACTTACCTCCGACTAATCCGGATGTAATTTTAAATGAAACAGTTTCCGCGAGTTTCATAAAGCTGCGTTGACGGCAACAAGTGCAAGTTCCCGCGTCAGAACAACTGTTACCTCGCTGCAACCAATAATTCTTAGTTGCTCGACTGCCGTGTTCGCTACTTTCAGATGGGCAATTTTCGAATTAAAAAATTCATTGTTCTTAGGAACGAAAAAGAACAACTTGCCTCGTTACTCGTGGAAGGAATGAGAGAATGAATTCGATCGTCCCTTTCTTTCTTCTTCTTTTCTTTTATTTGCTTTACATTTTTATATGAACCCTTTGACGAGTAAGCATTTTTGCGAAATGCACACGGTTTATGAGTGTTTTGTTCCATAATATAAACAATATTTTATATACAGTCAGTCTTATAAGTATTCGTCTATCGCAGAAATTTGTCTAAATTAATTGATGAATTTGATGTTTCCAAATCAATGTTTCATGATAGATATTTCCACGAACACACTTTTCACATATATATGTTTATAATGAGTATTTAAATTTATTTGGGAACCTCAGACCTGTCATTTAATTTAGACAAATATCTTCAATAAACATAGAGGGTACGAAGATTTATGAGACTGACTGTACATCTATTTGAC